AACCTGCGGGGAACTCTGCAAAAAACGCATCTTCGCACGGGCAGCCCGTGCGTTGGCCATTTTTAATGCCTGTTTGGCCGAGTATTGCGATTATCTGGTCATAAGCGGATCCCGGACGGACTTCTTAAGAGGTGAGGGGAGGAAGCCCAGTCCCATCCTGGAACTATTGCAAGAACTAGGAATAGAGTTGTTACTTAGAGTTGCTTTAGTTTTATTTATGAACAGACCCAGGCTTTGGCAACTTTTTTTTTCATTTCTGAAATGCACGTGAACGGACATCTTCAGGCCTCCGGAGAGCGTGCCGTTCGAGCCATCCGTCACGTTCTTAGCGTCTAATTGGGTACTCGGTGCATCCTCAAGCAGCATGCACTACTATCCGGAAGTGCGGGGAAGGAGGCGCCATCCCAGTCCGAACGGCGCTCCAACTCGGAACTCGTTCTCCGATATTGATCAAACTTGGAAGAGAGCCGGAGTGTGCGTTACCCGGCGACAGCGAACTACTACTACCTCCCGGCCCTTCTTATCCATACAGGCCAGCGCCACAGCTCTAACTCCTTCGCTGCTTAACAATGGGTGTCCAGGAAACATAGGCAGATCCAGAGAGGGAGGGGGTGAAGGGCGATGGACCTTTGGGCCCCTCTCCCTTCCCCCCAGTGGCATAGGTACCAGTGCTACAAAGGTCTGCGTCTAAAGCTAGAACTAAAGAGAACTCTTTTCCGTACCCCCGTCGCCTCTGTCCCAGGAGCCTCATTCCCCAGCCCTCGCTCGTCGCCGATAGAACCCCAGATTGTCGCTCCTTCCAAGGGGCCGTCCTGGACCCGCCTATGCCGGGAAAACTGCACGGATTTGGTAATTTCCAGGAGGCGCGCATTGTCGTGCATTTCCAGGAGGCGTGTGGTACCATGCTTCACGAGAGGAACGCGTCACATTTCGCTTCTTCCAGCACTTGGGGAAGCGACAGCTACAATTTGGACGTTTTTTTGCTAGGCCTATTATCCCTCATTTCGGCGTCACTGTTGCGTTCCACTTGAACTTGGGAACCTTAGCTTTTCATTCATCCCCCGCGTTCTCCGGAAATCGCACTGAATAGCCGACAGGCGACAGCTTGAATTCCTGGCCGTGCTGCTGCGTTTCTGGATGCATCCTGACCTGTCGCTACCCCTTATGAACAGATCTTGATGCATCGCTTTGTCGGCTTTACGCGGGAAAAAATGACCCTGCTGCAGTCTTTTGTTATGGATTTCACAAAAGCACTAAATGACCTTGTTGTGTCCGTCTACATACTTGTTTGCATGAGTCTCAGAAAGATCTTTCTTCTGTCCTTCATTTTACCAAGTTCTGTTATGGACACTATCTCTAGGCCTGAAAGGTTTCAAATTCAGCACTTTAGAGACGCCCGGAAGTCACAGACATGTGAAAGTTTTGGCGGGAAAATTGCTAACTGGGGAACGAGAAGAGCTAGAAAGCTGAAACTTTAGGGTTATGTTCAACATTCATGCGTGACCAAAAGATTTTAAATTTAGCTGTTTAGAACCACCTGGGATTCATGTGCAGACGTGTGGAAGTTCTGACGGGAAAATTGATAACTCGGGAATGAAAAAAGCTTAGTTTAGTTTTTTTTTTTTGCAGGATGTCAAGAGGGATTAGTTTTTTTGCAGGATGTCAAATCCCCAATACATAACACCTCAAAGCGTTTTGTCCGCAGGAGAGTAATTTCATGTTTTATTGGGCAAAATTGCCAAAGGAACGATGAATGCAAATTTCTTTTGTGTGTTGCGCGCGTCGCCCTTCATAAATATCTCTTTTCTGGATCGGCTGATGCATTTCGTATTTTTGCTTCAGGATGCATCGGCTGGGTACACTGAGCGAAGCCATGGATGAAGATGCTCTGATGGCTGATATGGTATCTTTTGCTTTTCGGTATTTCTTCAACA